AGCCCAGCCCAGCCCAGCCCAAGCGCGCGTCCTTCCAATGCGCCTGGCCGAGATGATCAAGAAGATGAGCCCCGGCGAGGCGGAATTCAACATCCCGGCCAAGAACTGCTACCGCATGGTGGTGCTGGGCTCCTCCAAGGTGGGCAAGACGGCCATCGTCTCCCGCTTCCTCACCGGCCGCTTCGACGACCAGTACACGCCCACCATCGAGGACTTCCACCGCAAACTCTACAGCATCCGCGGCGAGGTCTACCAGCTGGACATCCTGGACACGTCGGGCAACCACCCCTTCCCGGCCATGCGGCGCCTCTCCATCCTCACCGGTGAGCCGCGGCGCCTCTGCGCGGGGATCCAGGGCGGGGGCGGCTCCGCGGGGGGAAGCCTGCTTGGCGTCTGCTCCGCGAACCCGCCTTGGCGGGGCTGCGGTTTTTTCAGAGGGCAGCGAAAAGATGACTCCGGAGGGGTCTCCTCGCAGCTTTTCACGCGAGCGGGTCTTTCGCTCACGCCTTTTCATACCAATCCGTTAGTCTGAAAAGCTGCGACCGGACTCCGGATTTTTGGCTACGTGGCTGTCCTCCTACGAAACGCGTATGACGAATTTGTTCTGGAGTATCTCTCCCCGCTCCCCCCGCCCGCCTTCTATCCCAAAACTGGGCGCACATTAAGAATAGTGTCCCCGCTCCGCGTCTCTCGTGGCTCCCCAACTCTTAGCCATTTGCAAGCGGGCGCCCACGTGCTCCTCTCTGCGCGCCTCTACATGCGCGGGGTGAGCAACGTCTGCCTCGCTGCGAAACCTGCCCGGTTGGAGTCAGGTACGGGAAGAGGGAGAAGCATAGGAAGGAAAATCCATACAGTGTAAGAAAAACATCGGGCAAAGATAAACGATATCCACCCCACATTGATTAATTCAGTCCCAGATATTTTCCAGCCCTGATCTGTGCCCCGTCTCTCTCTGAAACGGCTGCAGTTTGACCCCCCACATCCTGCCAAGTTTAATGGGGAAGAGATCGGTTGAGGACGCTGTTCCCACTGATGCCTCCCCCCGCCCCCCAGGTCTTGGAAAACCAAACCCTAGAAATCTGAGTTTTCAGTCTGGGTTTTACAGCCCATTGGCAATGAATCGCATTGGAGATTCTCTCGCTTTTGCGATCAGATTGCTCTGGAGTGGTAAAGAAAAAAAAAAGGACGCCTTTTGCAGAAAGCCAAAGCAAATCAAAACAGGAGAAGCCTCTTTATGTGTGCACCTCCCCACTCTTCTAAATCAGCCGGTGATGATGCCTCCGCGTTGCTGAAAAATCCATATATGTTATTTCTGGGGCTATGGCAGCGACATTGACAGGGCACTCCATTTCTGATCTAAAGTGGACTTTGTTGCTAGTGTTTAAAAAAAATTATCGGGGGGGGAAGAGAATCATCCTATATTTATAGTCTGATTCTCCCCCCTTGCATTTTTTTATATATTGCAACCACCACCGCCACCCAGCCCCACAAATGGCAGCGACATTGACAGGGCACTCCATTTCTGATCTAAAGTGGACTTGGTTGCTAGTGTTTAAAAAAAATTATCGGGGGGGGAAGAGAATCAGACTATATGTATAGTCTGATTCTCCCCCCTTGCATTTTTTTATATATTGCAACCACCACCGCCACCCAGCCCCACAATAATTGCATGCATTTTGCTATTGCTGTGGTTTCCCAAGCATTGAATGCATCGAGCGGTGAAGTTTTAAAACTCCAATCCTAACCCTTTCCTCTTCTGCTCTTTCTCCTGCAGGAGATGTCTTCATTCTTGTGTTCAGCCTGGACAACCGGGACTCCTTTGAGGAAGTCCAGCGCCTGAAACAGCAGATCCTGGAAACCAAGTCTTGCCTGAAAAACAAGACCAAGGAGAACATCGAGGTCCCTTTGGTCATCTGCGGGAACAAAGGCGACCGGGACTTCTATCGCGAGGTTGACCCCAGGGAGATTGAGCAGCTGGTGGGCCAGGACTCCAAAAAGTGTGCCTATTTTGAGATCTCAGCCAAGAAGAATAGCAGCTTGGACCAGATGTTCCAGGCTCTGTTCACCATGGCCAAACTGCCCAGCGAAATGAGCCCAGACTTGCACCGCAAAGTGTCCGTCCAATATTGTGACCTTTTGCACAAGAAGGCCCTCAAGAGCAAAAAGCTCCTGAAGGACAGCTCGGGAGACGGGAGCGGGGAAGCCTACGGCATTGTGGCCCCCTTTGCTCGCAGGCCCAGCGTCCACAGCGACCTCATGTACATCCGGGAGAAGGCCATCCGGGGCGGGCAGGCCAAGGACAAGGAACGCTGCGTGATCAGCTAAGGCTTTTCCCTCTGGGCTTCGGACCTTCCTGGCCAAGGGGGCGAAGAGGCTTTTTGGTATCCAAACTCTGCCAGCCCGTCTGGTGGGCACAGGCCTTGGGCTGAGCCTGTGGAACACGGTGCCTCCTCACTCTCCATGGGGACCTTCCTACCATCTGCTCCCCTTGATTATTTTCATTTTCGCAAGAGCGGAGGCGAGGCTGAACTGTCCAGCCAGGACCAGCAGAAGAACTGCATCTGGAGAAGAGACATTGCAAACTTGGTTGTGTAAAGGAGACCTTCCGTGAAGTTACTCTGCATATTTTGGTAGTCAAAAGACTGGGGGGAAACAGGGGGGTTGAGTGGGAGACAGCCAGTAGCTGAACTCTCCAATTTTCTCTTGGCTGTGCCTGTGATGCTTTCTGTGCGCTGCATCTGAGCATGTTGAAAAGTTTAATCTGCTGCTGCTGAAAATTGTCCACTGCTTTTCCTGATCCCCTTCACCCCCATGGTGTGGGAGCACAGAGGGAGGGGAGACCGATGGGGAAAGCGGTTGGAAAAGTTATCCTGTTTACAATCCTCCTTTTTCTTGGACGTTCTTGAAAAAACAAACAAACAAACCACATTGCATTAAAGCCAACAGGCACTTTATGTATGTAGAATTTATTTGGTTGATGGTCAAGAACAAAATCGTTGCTGTTTCTACGATGTTCAACACTGGTTCTTTGTTTTATTTGGGGTGAGTTTTTTTTCTATGAAATAAAACTTTTGAAAAAAAAAATAAATTTGGTGTTGGTGTTGACCTGTGGCTGGCTGGGGAATTCTGGGAGTGGGAATCCACCTATCTTAAAGTGGCCAAGTTTGAAAAACACTGATTTAAGAAATTTAAAAAAGAGAGAATCCCCCAGAGAGCATGTCCCACAGTTACGTGTCCCAAGAATTCTTGAACCTTCCACGAAGGATGGAGAAAAGATTGAGCATTAGAAGAGTACACGCTCAATGTACCTTTTCCACACCTTTACAATTCCACAGGGCACAGAATTATGGAACTTGCAAAGAAGATACACTCCTGGGGAAACCTTTGCAAGCCGTTGATTGTTCACCCTATGCAACTGAAAAGATGGGGTGGAAAAGCAAGAGATGAGAATTAAGCCACTTCCTCCCACACACCACCCCCATTTCCAGGTATTTCCAAAAATGTGTTTTGCGTCCCTTCGTTTTCCATTTTATTTCCAGGGCCGGTGTGGACTCCTTAAAAAAAATAAACACAGCCAGTCCCCTTTATGGATGGAATTCCCTTTGCTGCTGCTTCTCACATCAACCCACATGAAAAGGTTCCTCTGTGCTTCTCTACACAAGAGTAGGCCTTCCCAACGAATGGCCCACATGCAGATCCCAGTTCTACCAGCCATATATAGTGCGTTCCTCCCCAAAGGAGGAACAAGAACAAGAAACATATTGTTTAGGTTTTTAAAATTGTGGTCTCCCTCCAAGCTGCTTCTGGATCTCGCTTCCCAAGGACCGATAGCCGTTGCAAATGAAGCAGCCAGGAATCTGTGCTTAGGACCTGGGAGAGCTGGATTCAAATCCCCCTTCAGTCCTAAGACTTGCACTTCCTCACAAGGTTGTGGCAATAGAAGAAAACAGCAGTTTAACTGGCTTGAGCTGTTGAGGAAAGAGGGTCTATAAACCTAGTTGCGACATCTGTCCTCATCATTTCTAACTTCAGGTTTCCAAGCTGTGGATGCTGATGAGAGAAATCAAACCCTGTATTTGTGCAAGAGAAAAAGTACTGGGTATGATCTGCAGCCACTACTAGTAATAAGGCAGGGGTCGGTGGGCTCTTGAAACAACTGATGAAGCAGAGGGTGTTCAGCGAGTGGGGTTTAACAGGCCTTGAAAGGATGGAGAATGGCATGGAGTTAAATATAAGGGGACAGGATAATTATTCCCTTCCCGCGCTTCATGTTTCTCCTCCCGCACCAGTCTTCAACGTGGCTGCGAATACCAAGGGCATTACGCCCGCCTCTTGTGCCCAGTGGAAATTTTCCAGGCCCTGCAGAATCAACCTTGCTCCCCTGCTCTGCCAGGGAGCCTGAAATGTACCAAGGGTGAATGGCAGGAGTCCAGACCTCAGTGACCCCTTTGGTGTGCTCCTAGCCCAGCCCCTTCCATAATTCCCTTTATTGCACTCCTTGAGTACAAAACAACAATGAACTTTCTTCTCACGTGACGCTGGGATGAAGCCAAGCTGCTGGACTCGCACACTTGAAACTGTACCAGCAGCGGCTCCCAAGTGCCACCTTTGCTCTGCAGAAGAGGGGCAAGGATTCACACGCTTTCACCCCATACTACGGGCCAGGTGAGATCCAGCCCATTCTGCCCCAGATATTGCTGACTTTGTAGGCCCCCCCAACCCCGCCCCCACGCCTGTCTCTGGCACCCTCCAGCTCGGCAGTTTCTCAGTAACAGCCATACTGGCTGGGGCGTTCGGATGTTGCATTCATACGTTCGGAGGGTGCCCACGTTGGGAATGGTTGGCATGTGGTAAATACATGTAACTGAAAGAGAATTGGGATCTCGCCTTAACCATTGGTGCTTCCAATCCCCGTAATTTTCCTTAGGTCAAACTTTAGTTCATGGAATCTACTTGAAGTAGAGATCTGTTATGGACAGAGAGGGCTCTAAATCAGTGTTTCTCAACCTTGGCCACTTTAAGATGGGTGGACTTCAATGCCCAGAATTCATGGCTGGCTGGGGAATTCTGGGGACTGAAGTCCACCCATCTTAAAGTGGCCAAGGTTGAAAAACGCTGTTCTAAACTGACCAGAAACAGCAGGGCCTGAACTGTGGCCAACCCTTTCGACATTGCAACTTATTTTATTATTGACTTTCCTAGACTAGAAATAACATTAATTACAGAAGCAATAAAGTCACCCGCAAATTCACTCAGGGTTGCTTTAATCGGTAATAACTGTCCTACGGCACCAGGAGGGAGAGAAATAAAGTTCTTACAGACCATGCATTAAAAAAAAGAGAAAAGAAACCAAAATAACATAAATTTTAAAAAACGAAAACAACAAAAAATGCAAAAGAATCAGGATTGAAGGAACGCTGAGCAGGAAAGCTGAAAATAATTGCGCATCAGCCGCAAACGGTCAAGAGATCCAATCTCTGTCCTTTCATTTCTGGCCCACCAAAGTTGAGGGGAAGCAGTGATGATGCAGAAATATTGTTAAAACAAAAACGCATCGACACTGCATGTTTAAACAGGGCTATTTTTGAAGCAAAAAGGTTACACAGCTGCAGCTGGCAAATCTGACAAAGAACTACGTAACTAAAATAAATCAAGAGTGGAATACGTTACAGACCACGTCAGTTGGGGAGGTGTACACAGGCAAGCCCAGAATATTATTCTATTCCCCCCCTCCGCGAACATTTCAGCAAAGCCACTAAGGAAACCCAGAGTATCCACTCCAAACAAGCAATCTAAAAATAATCAAAACCACATTCAGACATGAACGATCTTCTCCATCAGCATTGACGCCTTCCACTGAAACTGACAATTGACGTCATAGTGAGTGTTTAATAAAAATCAGAGGTAAGTCGTGAAGTTTTTCTCCTTTCTTTGAAGATTTTAAATACTCCCCTTTTCTTTCCTGCTGCTTCACGGCACAAGAAAAATTATTTTCTGGGGGCTGAGCAACGGCTTCAAAGACCCTCCCTACATCTCAGCTGAGCCCACTTCCCCTTTAAAAATCCTAAGGATATATGAAGACTGGGTGGCACAATTCCACCTGGAGCAAACCACTTCATCCTGCCGGGGGGGGGGGTGTTGAAAGGTGAAAGCACAGCCATGGAGGGAGGGAAAGAAAGTCAAAATAAATCAAGTTATTAGCAATGAGAAAGCAAGCCTGAAATTTCATTCCAGGCATGGCAGTGCGTGGAATTTTAATTCACTTTTCATCCAGGGAATAGGAAGATGTGAAACCCCCCTTCTGCTGAAGTGGTACACCCTGGCCCAGCTTCACCACCTGGTTCCACCGAAACCGACCCTCAGACATTCCTGTGAAGTAGAAAATAAGTTGTGTGCAACCACATCCTATTGGGCTGACTAACTGCACACCAGGCCCAGGATGCTCTGTTTCGACCCTCTCCAGCCACTTGCTTTAGAGCAGTGTTTCTCAGGCTTGGCCACTTTGAGATGGGTGGACTTCCACTCCCAGAATTCCTGGTTGGCTGGGGAATTCTGGGAGTGGAAGTCCACCCATCTCAAAGTGGCCAAGGCTGAGAAACACTGCTTTAGCGGAACCGTCCTGTTCGCAGAGGGATACCCCATTACTCCTTGGGGATTTCGAACATACAGAGGCTTTTATATTTCTGCAACAGCTTGTTCTTGGTCTTCACTTGTTCCCGGAGATGCTGAAGCTGCTGTTGCTGCTGTTCGGGACTCAGGTTGATGCCTTGCATGGTTTTGATCATCTTGTGCGTCTCCACAAATTTGGTCCTCAGTTCGTTCAGCAGCTGGTGGACATCCTGGCTGTCTTTATCCATGCTAAAACACAGAGACAGGTGGGGAGGGGGAGAATAAAAAATAAATTCCCATCGTGAGGCTGGGATGGTATAGACAAGCAAGGAAGGGCAAGGACACTCAGAGGCGGTCCTCTGATTGTTTTCAATGCACTTTTAAAAGGTCTTACTCTGATTTTTTTTTTTTAAAGCAAGTTCTTCACTGCAGCTTTCCCATGTTTTAAAATATCAAATATTTAGCATCCTGGATTTTAAAGCTCTTTTTCTTTTATTTATTGCCCTTTTATTCCACGCAAGTCACTTCGGATATGACTTTAATCAAAAACCCCAATTTTGTTTTCAGCATGGCCGTATTTATAAATAGAGTTGCTCTGTGGTGAGATGGGGGGTGTCACATTTGGAATATAAATAAATTTGAAATATAGCTCCCAACCCTCCCTGAAAAATAGAGCTCTCTGAATGCAGGCAGCCCGTTCTTCCTCTCTCCCTCCCCCTGCAAAACTCTCCTCTGTGTCGATGGCCCAAGAGGTCTACGCAATGGGGATGAATGCAGAGAGAGCAAGAGTTGATAATTGCAGAAATAAAGGACATGTCTGGAAAACAGAGGACTGTGTTCCTGCGCTGAGAAGCAACTCCCACGTAGTTGGAAGAAAGCATTACATTTTGGACTTTCCATTAGCAGCTGGCTGACAATCAAAAACTAGACTAAATAGACTTTACAAAGCAGGCCTGCGAAAACCTGTTCTGCTTCTCCCGTCTGAACCCTGAGGAAGGGCCGGCTCCAGATTCCTTTGGCGTGGCACTGCTGGGGGTCTGAACTAGGAGACAGGCCTTCTCCATGGGCCCCCCCTCATGCAGAGGGGCAACTGGCCCCTGCCCACCCAGCGTTTAGGAAGAACCTCAAAATCATCCTGTCTCAGCAGGCCTTTGGGCCCTAGAGGCATTAAAGGGCACACATCCATCTTGCTATTACTTTAGCCTTGTTGTAGCCTCATTATTATCTTCTGATTTACTGTTTTGGGATGTTTTTAATTACAGGTAGTCCTTAACTTACGACCACAATTGGGATCAGAAGTTCTGTCGCTAAGCAATGAGGTCATTAAGTGAGTCATGCCCGATTTTATGATTTTTTTGCCATGGTCATTAAGCAAATCACCATGGTCATTAAGAGAATCACGCAGTTGTTAAGAAAATCTGGCTTCCCCCATTGGCTTTGCTTGTTGGAAGCCCCCTGGGAAGGTCACAAATGGCGATCACATGACCCCGGGATGCTACAACCGTCGTAAATACATGCCAGTTGCCAAGCACCTGAATTGTGATCACATGACCGCAGGGACACTGCAATGGTTTCAAGTGCGAGGGCTGGTCGGAAGTCACTTTTTTCAGCACTGTCATAACTTTGAACGGTTGTTAAATGAATGGTCGTAAGTCGAGGACTACCCGTATGGAGATATTCTGCATCGGTGGGCTCGGACTGGGATGGTCTACACCTGCTGGGAAAGAAAGCAAGCAAATCCTCTGAAGGAGACGACCTTTCAAATAGTTCTGGACAGGAGCCCCGGGCTTCCTTTCCGAAGCCAAACCTTTCCTAACTCTGCAGCTTTTTAAAGCCCGATGCTGTTGTCTGATTAGGCCAGCGGTCCTCAAAGTGCAGTCTGGGGACCCTGGGGGTCCCTGGGACCCTTTCAGGGGGTTTGCAAGATCAAAGAAATATTTTAATTTCTCCGTTTTGATTTCTCATACGGTACCTATCGATAGATGTAACCCACATAAACTGACGCTCTTGGGGGTCCT